AAAAAAAATATTCATGACGTCATAAAAACCAGGTTGAGTTGATGTTGTGGGGCCCCATCTTCATCCTGGAAACTTCAAAAATTACTGTAGGGAAATTTGTTGCTTGTTATGGGAAATTTAAACATTAACAACAAGGACATATTCTGACATATAAAGAAAGACACAGATATGAGGAAAAGCAAAGAAAGTTTATCAAGTATATAATTATCCTCATTCTGTCCCATTTCATGGCTCCTGATCTGAGACAGAAACTCTGAGATATCTCTTATCAACAGGCTTGGAATTGAAGAGGGACTGAGCCATAGTCCAACTCCAAAACCAGCTCTACATTTTTATAAAGAAGCGTTCAAAGAGAAAAAAGAAAAAAATATATATATATAACCCAAACGCCAGAAGAGGGCAGCAGACCTCTTTACAGATGGTTATGAGTCACCATGTGGTTGCTGGGAATTGAACTCATGACCTCCGGTGGAGCAGTTAGTGCTCTTAACCACTGAGCCATCTCTCCAGCCCCTCATCCCCAACTCTTCAGTGTCAGGTTTCTCTTTCTTGTTTGGACTAAAAGCCTTGCCATCATCCTTGGCCCCTGTTTTTCTTTTCTACTCTTCATCAGCAGGTTTTGTCAGCCTTGCCTTCAAATGAGGTCCTGAGTGGCCTCAGCTAACCACAGCGCCTGAGCTGGCCTCTTTCTTGCCCTGCTGTTGGCAGTAGCTTCCTAACTCACCATCTGTTTCTGTCATCAGGTCTCTTCCCAACACTGCAAACAAAGGGATCCCCTGAAAACATAGTGGTAAACAGGCACGGTGGGCACAGCTGCACCCCAACACTCAGAGGAACCGAGAAGGTTAAGAATTCAAGGTCAGCCAGTCCACCGTCTTTAATCCCTGCAGTCAGGAGGCAGCATTCTGTGACTGTAGGCCAGGTGGTCTACAAACGAGTTCCAGGAGAGGCTCCAAAGCTACCCAGAGGGGGGAAAAAAGGAAAGAAAAGCTCAGGAATTCAAGGTCGCCCTCAGCAGGAAGGAGGTCAGAGCCAGTCTAGAATACTTGAGTCTGTTTTTAAAAAGAAGAAACAAAGAAAAGGTGCTGAGTTGTGTGCTGCTCAGCTAAGAGCCCCAGGCAGCCTATGTTCCTCTATTGTGAGGGGCAGTGCCGACTGAAAGTGTGCAGTCTCTGATTCAAATGGCAGGGTAAGAACTGCTACAGGCTCCAAAGCCATAGAGAAACCCTGGCTACAGGCGGAAACTTTTATGGTTTTTATTTCCTGGGGGAGGAGATTGCTGGAATGTGAAACCAGGGTTTGCACATGCTACACACATGTTTCACCTTTGAACTAGGCATTCAGCCTCAAGCCTTCTCTTTAAGTTTAATGTCCTTTCTTCCCAAGGCAACAATTCAAATCACCAGCATGAATTTTTCTGTTGACCCTTACATTGTAGAGTGCCGGTTTGAAACACAAATAAGAACGCTTAGTGCACATCATCAGATTACACAATTCATCGTTCCCAGCTCATCTGTGCCTGGACAGTGGACAGGCGGAACACATTAAACTCAGCTATCTGGGTTTTTTAGTTTGGTTTTGTTTGAGACAATCTTGCTATGTAGTCCACGCTCCCTTCATCCGGGCTACCTTGAGACCTTCAGCAGTTCTCCTGCCTCTACCTTCTGCATGGTAGTGTTAAGATCATGGCTGCAATGCCCTGTTTTGCTCTCAGCTGCTTTTACCTCCCTCTTTGCTTCCTGGTCCGGCTGGAAGGCCTGACTTCCCTGGGCTACAGCGCCACCCACCTTGCAGTATGAACTTCATATACAGAGTGCACTTGGTCCCAGTCAACTCCCACACACCAAGAATCACAGGAATTCTATGGCCAGCATGCATTGATAACTCCATCTGCAGATATGGTGGCGGGGACCAGTGGGCACTTAGCACATATCTCTTCTGCTCACAGACATGATCCCTTGTCCTGTTGGGCTTCACCTGTAAACCACTCAAATCACAGCCACTCCCCAGTATCCATGGAGATGCTTCTATAGAGTGACGTGTAACCTCTACATGTCCTGCAGCATGCTTTCTTGAGGGGTGAAGAATGGGATTATTACAGTGCCCAGGCGATCTTGTACTCCTGTGTTCAAGTGATCCTCCTGCCTCAGTTTCCCAAGTAACTGGGACATAAAGGCGCATGCCACTACCTCCCTTGTTTTGCTTTTATGGGCTTGGGGGAACACAGGGTCACTACATAGCTTTGGCTTTCTTAGAACTCACAGAGATCCAACTGCTTCTCCTTCCCAAATGCTGGGTTTAAAGTGTGTGCCACCACTCCCAGCTCCTCCAGTGTATTTTAAATCACCTCTAGGTGAGTTGTAATAGCTTTTATAGTGTGCATGCTGTATATGGTGCTAGGCTACACTGTTTCGGGAATAATGACAGGAAAAAGGCCTATATATGTTCAGCATGGACAGACTTCTGAGGTTTTTCCAACTGCAGCTACTTGATTCCCCAATACAGGCTTTGGTAAGTAGAGGTTGTTTGCTTTTAAACCACTCCAAAGCCTGGCAGTGGTGGCACACGCCTTTAATCCCAGCACTCAGGAGGCAGAGACAGGTGAATCTCTTGAGTTCGAGGCCAACTTGGTCTATGTTATGCCTTCATCATGCATCTCACCCACCCACCAGAGACCATCAGGAGCTGGGGTTCACATGCAAAAGCAAAGAGCCTTTATTGCAAGATCGAACTCGGGCTCGCCATCTGTCTGTCACAGCTGCTGAATCAGGAGAGCATTGAGCTCAGCTGGCAGAGGATGTGGGAGTAGGGGAATTCCGGATTCAGCTGGGGATTGAACTCCTGATTGGGCAAGAGTGGGGCAACAGAAGTCTTGTCAAACAGGGATTGGTACTGGCATCTGCAACCCAAGTGTTGGGATTAGAGGCATGCTCCGCTACTGCCTGGCTGACCTTTGTATTCTTTTGTTGTTGTTGTTGTTTTTCCAAGACAGGGTTTTTCTGTATAGTCCTGACTGTCCTGGAACTAGCTCTGTAGACCAGGCTGGCCTCAAACTCACTGAGGTCCACCTGCCTCTGCCTCCCAAGTGCTGGGATTAAAGGTGTGCTCTTACACTGCCTGGCACAACCTTTGTATTCTTAACACTGTCTCAAGCTTTACAGGTACTATTTTAAATGTTTCTCACCATTCTCCTAACACTTTTTAAATGTGTATTGGTTTTTTCCTCTCAGGCTTATGGTGAAGGCTCTGGTGCTGACTGTAGACGCCATGTCCAAAAGCTAAATCTGCTGCAGGGACAAGTGTCAGAGCTGTCACTCAGGTACAGTGTTTTGAAAGGAGTGGTAATTTTATCTTGTTTCCATCTTGATGAGAGGGTGAGCGTTTACCATGGTGAAATCCCTTACAAGTCCGTGTGCCACTGCACAGTTGGTTACACACCCTGAGCAGTCCTCTCTATGAAAATAACTAAGAGTCCAGGTGGTAGTCCCTTTAATCCCAGCACTCAGGAGGCAGAGGCAGGCAGATTTCTGTGAGTTCAAGGCCAGGCCAGCCTGGTCTACAAAGTGAGTTCCAGGACAGTCAGGACTACACAGAAAAACCTTGTCTTGAAGTCCAAGATTCTCCTGCCTCTACCTCTCGAGTGCTGGGATTAAAGGCATGCACCACCACCAACAACCAAATTTTTTACTGGCTAGAAATTTTGAATCTTTGTTTATTATTATTGTGTCTGTATGGATGTGCAAGCTGGAGGACAGCTTTGTGACGTTGGTTCTTTCTGACTCCCTGAGAGTTCTAAGGGTCACTCACTCAGGTCACCCTGCTCGTGGCAGTGCCTTTACCTGCCGAGCCATCCCACCAGCCTTTGGCTGTAATAGTTTAAATGCAAGCCTAGCTAGCAAGAAAATAGGGAGCCTTCAGAGGTCAAAAGCGAAGTGAAAGTCAAAATCCGCAGAAGCACCTGAACTGCAGAGGGGCTGGAGCTGTAATCTGGAGTTGACATATGGATATCTGAGGGGCACAAGAAACACTGGACAGAACAGAAGGCTGAAGTGTGGGATTCAGCAGGGGACTGTCCTGCTTGTATTTCAAGATGGAGTCTCACCATGTGGGTCCTCTGCAGGTGCAACACCTTTCCTTACTTTATTGAAACTGGCCTCAAACTCTAGCTCCTTCCTCTGCCTCCAGACACTGAGATGACAGAGGTGTGCCACCACACCTGGCTCTGAGGATCTCCATAAACAGCTGAGTCCCCAGAGACTTAGCCCTATTACACAAGTAAGCTACAAGGACACCTGATGTGAAACAGGGTGCTTGCCTGTGTTGACCTTGGCAGTGGCCAAAGAAATCCATCCCAAAGACTTTGACACACAGGGAAGCCTTCCCTCAGGCTTCACCCTTTCTTCTCACCCTGAAAAGCCTCATGCCTAGAGTTTATTTTCCCATTATCTCAGGCAGTGGAGATCAGTGCAGCTTTTCTCTGGAGAGCTTATCTTCAGCCTGGGTCTTTGAGAACTCCCACAGACAAAAAAGATCAAGGACTGTGGAGACTTTAAAATTGATAAGCGTGCCCAAGGCAGCTTGTGAGCATGAGCAGCGGCCAGAGAAATCAGACTCACACGCTCTTAAGAATGTGTTATGCTGGGCAGTGGTGGCACACACCTTTAATTCCAGCACTTGGGAGGCAGAGGCAGGTGGATCCCTGTGAGTTAGAGACCAGCCTGGTCTATAAAGTGAGTTCTAGGACAGTCAGACCTGTTACACAAAGAAACCCTGTCTTGAAAAGCAAAGACAAACAACTGTGTGTGTGTGTGTGTGTGTGTGTGTGTGTGTGTATGAGAGAGAGAGAGAGAGAGAGAGAGAGAGAGAGAGAGAGAGAGAGAGAGAGAGAATTACATGCTTACTGTGTTCAACCAAAAACAAACAAAAGGCAGGGAGGGCAGAGCTGATAATCTGAGAGATTTAGAAATAGTCAAGTGAAGGCTGGGTACAGTGTGTGTCCCTGTAATCCTAGCACTAACTAATGGGATGGAGGCCAGAGGATCATAAATTCAAGGTCATCCTTGACAATGTAGTGAGGCTGAGACCAGCCTGAACTACATGAGACCCTATCCCAAAATGAAGAAATCACCCAGATGGACAGGTATATGGATGAGTTCTGGAATGTTCACAAGGCACTGGAGCCTTTCTTCCCTTGGGGTTAGGATGTACCACCTTCCTGGCACATGCATGAGTTCTCATCGCCTCTCTGTGGGCCTCTCAGGAACTCTGGGTCCTGCCCTTTGGGTCTTTATGTAGATAGACAGAGTTGCTGATGAGCTGGCAGGCAGTCTAGCATGGCCTGTGAGCTCAGCATTCTTGGCTGTGTGCAGCATTCTTCCCTCCGGAGCATGGGGACATGACCCTTCTAGAATGAAGAGGCTGTGGCACCCTTCTCATGGACAAGGGTAGGAAAAAGAATTTATGGATAGTTCTAAGACAGAAAGGCAGGCCAACATTAGAGTTGCTGTGCCCACCTTGGGAAAGGAAAATAACGCTCTCAATTGTCTGGATGGAAATGGCAGTGGTCCTAGAAGCAGGAGACACAGCTCTGCTGGCTACAACCCTGAGTTCTTTCAGAGCTTCAGATGAGGCTAGGATTCTTTTTTGTTTATTTTATATTTCTTGAGACAGGATCTGTTTACAGAGCCCTGGCTGCCCTGGAACTCACTGCGTAGACCAGGTTGGCCTCAAACTCAGAGATCCAGCTGCCTCTGCCTCCCAAGTGCTGGGATTAAAAGTGTGCACTACAACTCCTGAAGAAACTGGAATTCTTGACCTTACCACAGAAAGAGTCTCAGGACAAATCAGACAAACAAAAGTTTTGAGTTGGGTGGTGGTGGTGCATGTCTTTAATCCTAGTACTCAGGAGGCAGAAGCAGACAGATCTCTGTGAGTTTGAGGCCAGCCTGGTCTGCTCTACAAGAGCTAGTTCCAAGACAGGCTTCAAAGTTACAGAGAAACCCTGTCTCAAAAATACAACAACAACAAAAAATTGTTTTTGCCAGGCCTGGTGGTGAACGCCTTTCAATCCCAGCACTTGGGAGGCAGAGGCAGGTGTCCTTCAAGGACTAGGACAGCCAGGACTGTACAGTGAAACCCTGTCTGGGGAGAAAAAGAAAATTTTAGTGATGGAAAGAAGGTCCAGCAGTTGGGAGTGCTGGCTACTCTTCCAGAGGACCTAGGTTTTTTGGTTTGGTTTGGTTTGGTTTTTCAATACAGGGTTTCTCTGTAGCCTGTCCTGGAACTAGCTCTTATAGACCAGGCTGGCCTCGAACTGATAGAGATCTGCCTACCTCTGCCTCCCGTGTGCTGGGATTAAAGGACCTAGGTTTAATTCCCAGCACTCACACAGTGGCTCCCAGCTGTCTCAAACTCACATAGTTCATCTTCCTTTGTCTCCAAAGTGCTGGGATTAAAGACGTGGGCCACCACATCCTTCAAAGTTCTTGTTTGAAATATCTCTATAAAAATGAATATTGTCTTTATGCAGACAGTATGTAGTGAATTTTGTTACTTATCTCAAAATTCTCAGCTCTTGAGAAACTTCAGGCAGATTTGGGTGAGGAGCTCTTTTTTCTTCTCCCCATAATGTTCTCTGTATTTCTTTCTGTGTGAGACTGCATTTGGAAGTTTGGTGGTGTAGGTGGTGAAAGAATTTACAAAAGGGAAAAAAAACAGACAAAGAGAGAATTTACTGCAAAGCATTGAAGTAGAGGACAAGTTCCTGATGAGAGCTCCTGGGACTGAGAGGGAGCAGAGAGGTCTGTGAGGAGGCAGTTAAGTGTGTGAGCTCTACGCAGGCAGACAGGCAGGTGTCTTCTGCCTTACTGAGTAGTAAATTTTACAGTGGAAGAGGTTAGGCTCCGGACATTCCTGTAAGATACTGTGAGTCACTAGGGATCAAGCTTCAAATGATCCTGAGTGCATTATTAAAAGTGAGAATTTTGCTTTTACTTTTGGCCTTTTGTGTTTACATTTCCTTCCTGACAGATGAGCAAGGTAGTGAAGGACAGGCTTCTGAACCTTGAGAGCTGAGTGGACCGGAGCTGCTCCTTAGCTTTGCTGATCCATCAGAGGGTCCCAAGATCTTATGATGTAGACTTTTGAAAGGCATTTGCAGAGGGGAGCAGCTGTTGCAAGGCTAGATTGTGACATCATTTGAGACCTGAGGTCCTTTGTGGCAGGAGACAGGCATCACTGATGATAGAGCAATTGTTAATGTCCCTGAGACAATACCATCTGGAGTTTGATGGCCAAAAAAATCCTAGAAGGTTGAAATAAGGTTCAAACCACAAAGCAAAATGACAAATTTAAAAAGACAGTGGGGCCAAAATAGACAGACCAAGTGCAGCCAGCCAAGTTACCCGGATGTCCTAGCCCAGGGGCTAATGAACCTCGGGAAAAGCAAATGTGATTCGGAACTGAAGGAGTCAGGAAAACACGGAGCGGAATAAGATGTCCATGAGAGGGCAGACAAGGTGGTTCCGGAGGTGAGGTGCTCGCTTTGTGAGCCAGGTAACTGCAGTGCCACACCTGGAGCTGTGTGAGGGAAGAGAGAACCAACTCCATGAAGTCGTGTGCTGGTTCCAGGTGTGCCACCCCCAACATGCTCACTTGTTTTTAATTTTACAAAGAAATCTTACTAGAAAGGTAAGAAGGACCAACCATGGTCATGTTTATTCAAATCGTGGGAAACTGGCAGTGGAGAAGAACAAAGCCTGGCATGCAGGAAAAGCCCCACACATTAGGAGAGATCAGGAAGACAAGAGCCTACTGGTCCTACGGCAGCAGAGAATTCGGGTTTTATTTTATTTTCCTGTAGGTCCTTAGGATGGAAAGACTCAAGATAGGAAACAGCTGCAGATAGACTTGTTTGGTTGATTGGTTTTGATTTTGATGGTTTTTACAATAATAGAAGAAACAGAAAGGTGGTTATTTATCCAGAGACAGACATTTTCATCCTGATGGGCAGATAGAACATCCTGAAAGGACTTCCGGCCGTCAACAGAGGATCTGCCTTGTGGGGCACAGGAAGGGTGAAAAAAGCACCATGCAGACATCTTCTAGGAAGCTGGAAGATGGCTCTGCAGTCGGGAACTAGAGCTCCCCTGCAGAGGACCTGAGCTCCAGCTCCAGCACCCACGTCAGGTGGCTCACAACCACTTAGCGTAACTCTAGCTCCAGGGGGTCCAGGTATCAACGGGCACCAGCTTTCACAGACACGAACCCTTCCCCAAACACGTCATTAAAAGTACAAATAAATCTTTTTTTTTGTTTGTT